CCAGGACCCCCTCTTGCCTGAGGCCTTCCCATTCCCTACCTGCCCACCCCCTAGTCACTGCCAGCTGCCTTTGGAAAGCACTTGTATTTACTTGTAAGCATTTGCTTATCTGTCTACCTGGGGTATCCCCAGTAGAATGTAAGCTCCCTGAGGGCAGGGATTGGGTCACTTTTGTCTTTGTATTCCTAATACCTCAGTGCCTGGCACGTTGTTATTGTTGTTGTTTGGTCATATTTGACTAAGGGTTTTCTTGGCAAAGATGCTGGAAAGGTGTGCCATTTCCTTTGCCAGTAGATTAGGCAAATAGAGGTTAAGTGACTTGCCCGTTGTCACACAGTTAGTAAGTATCTAGGGTTAGACTTGAACTCAGGTCTTCCTGACTCCAGGCCCAGTGTTCTAGCTACCTCGCCGCCTCACCTGACACATAGTAGGTGAATTAAACAGTTTGGTGCCCATAGTGGCACACCTACTTACTGGCTGTGTGGCCCTGAACAAGACACTTAACTTTAATGACTTTTAAGGAAATCCCTCCCACTTCTAATTCTGATTCCCTTCCAAACTGGGATCTAGGACCCTCCAACCTCCCCAGTGGAAACCGGCAGGAAAGGAAGCCATAGGTGGAAGGAGCTCAGCCTGGGGTAATCTCACCCAGCCTCCGACGTTGCCAGAAACTAGCGGGTTCTTCGGTTCTCTGGTCCTCGATGGGGAGCTCGAAGGGACCCACCCTGTCATAGGAGCCCGTCATTACTGAGTCTTAGGAGTCAGGCAGGAGGCAACAATGAAAGTGACTTGCGCAGGATCACAACTAGTAAGTGGTGAAGTCAGAATTTGAACCCAGGTCTTCCTGATCCCAGGTCTTCCTGACCCCAGGTCAGGCGTGACCTATCCACTAAGCCAAGCCTCAGACCATCAGAGCTATCAACTTCAACCTTCCCATTTTACAGATGAGAAAACTGAAGCCCAGAGAGGTAGTGATGGGCTGAATAAGGCAGTGTCAGGATTTGAATCCGGGTTCCCTGGCTCTCAACTCCGCACCAGTTCTACAGCTCCCCAGAGCCTCTCAGATTGTCTGTATCAGGGCATCGGACAGAGGTCAAGGCTTGAGCAGACAGGAGGGGTGAAGCTGGTGGGGAGGCGAGGGGGGAGCAGAGAACTGGAGGAGGGAGCAGAAAAATGCCCGTCTGAGCCGCAGGCACTGAAGACCAGGGCTGCTCAGGGGGCATGGGGTTGGGGCAGCCACAGCCTGGACACCAGGGTCGGGGATGGGTCTCCTTTGTATGGGAAGAACCACAAGGAAATCGTCTCTCGTTATGATATTACTATTCTTACTAACTCTCCTCCAGTTCCCGATGTCTAAGCCCAATGCCTCCTGTTACATCTCCAGCCTATTCTAACGCTTTGCGATAGAATCCTTGTGGAGGCCTAGCCTCGATCCCTCCTGTTAACAGCAGCCCCAGCCTCCTTCCTCTAGTTCCCAACCAACCGGGGCCAGCAAAGACGAAGAACATCTGCTCCCAGCTCCCAGCTCCTCCCTGCTCCCAGGGATCCCACAATGGGAGGGGGCAGGGCAGAGGCAGACAAGGCTCCCCCAAGCTCAAAGGCATGGTGATCCCAATCCTACGAGCAGACACCCGCTGACCACATCCTTTCCACTCTCCACCTCCCCCCCAAACCTTGGCTCCTCTCTGCCCACAGATTTCTCCCCCCCAATCCATCTGCCCCCCCATTAGCTCGTGTTACTGTAGCTAGTTCTCCCAAAGTGCCACATCCTCAGCCCTCAGACACCTTCCTGGCAGGCGCAGGAGTGTAGGGGTCTTCCCAAACCTCCCCACCAGTCGAACAAGCCCCCAAGGGGCACGGCTTCCAGGGCTCAGACCACAACTCCTCCCCTGTAGCCACTGGGTAGGCTTTACTCATTCCTTGGTGGGTGTGGCAAGGACCCCTCCTCCCCCAACACTACAGCAAGACAGACCATAGACAGTGAATGATGCATCCAGAGGGGACTCCCAGAGCCTGTGACTAACTCTTTCCCCGCTAAATGTTGGGGCATACAGACCCCTCTCGCCATCCTGATTGAGGAAAAGGGAATCAGAGAGGGAGGGCACGTCACACAGCAAAGTTGGCTCAAGAGTCTAGGCTCCAACTCAGGAGAAGTGGGCTACAGTATACATGGGGGAGGGAAGGTGGCTGTGGGTGGAATGTGAGGTTAAGGACACACACCAGCCTGTAATCTAAATCTAGAACGATTCTCCAAGTGCGCAGGACGAACTCTGTGCATCTTAGTAGGGGGAGAGGTACCCCCACGGGCCCTCCCCCAAGGCCGCTCTCAGAAACAGGTAGTGCCAGGTCAGGCAGGCATGCCTGAGCAGGGAGGAGACTAGAGCAAAGGTGTGGAGGGGGGGAGGGCAAAAGCTTCTCAGCTTCCCATCCCATGGCGCTAGAGCCACGGAAAAAGACCACAGTGATAGGAACCCCACAAATCCCAAAGCTCCTAGGATGGGGCTGGAGGCTGATGACAGCAGAAGAAGTATGGGGTGGGGAAAAGTTTGCTGCTAAACCTGAACTCTGATCAGCCTCAGGACTGCAAACCCTCTGAGAAATGGGAAGAGCTGAGTAGTAAGGAAAGGCAATCCCCCAAAATCAGCACCGTCTCCTGCTCCTGGTCCCTGGCCCTTTCTCCTCTAGCCTTCAGACAGGACCAGCAGTGAGACCCCACCTCAGCTACCAAGACCAATCCCTACCCTAGGGCCAGGACGGGAGTGGAAGGGGTCAGGAAGGGGTGATCCAGCTCTGGGGACATTCCACAGGAATCCCTCTTCCCTCCCCCTCCAGAGAAACAGGCAGACAGGACAGGAGGGAGTGCTCCAAACCACCCAGACCAAGCAGGAACGATTCCCAGAAAGGGAAGGAAGACAGGCTAAAGGTGTTCTCATCCTCACTGACTAAAAGCGGATTTTTCTCCCTGAGAAACAGAGACCCCTCCTCCCTATAATCCTTCTCCTGCACTGATGCTCACACTTTCTCCACTCATCCCCCATCTTCACCCACAGCTCTCTCCACCTTCCAAACCTTTAAAGAATGACTATTCCTACCCACCTATTACCGTCCCCCCCCCCATGCACCTTGACTCCAACCCCCACCTTTGTCCTCCTCCACTGTCCAGTCTGGGAGATATCCTCAGTTCTGCTCACCTAGTCCACTTCTGCCTTTAATTTCTTTCCGGGCCCCTAAATGCTTGGGTCCCCAGGACAGTCATGGAAAGAAGAGAGAGCAGGAGGGAAGAAGGTAGAAAAGGAGGAAGGGAGGGCCTGAGCTAAGGAAGGGGCTGCTGTCTTTGTCTCCCGGAGCAGTTATAGAAAGAGTACAGAGTCACAGGCCTGAGTCCTTCAGAGAAACGGGACACAAACACAGACCCATTCATCCCCATACATGTTTATACACACAAACACAGGTTCGTGTGAATGTGCATATGTGTGTGAATACATACACATGCACATGAATATATACGCCTGTGCGTGCACATGCACATTGTGGTACCAAGTGTCTGTGCACAGGTGCACAGGTATGCACATGTGTGTGCAAAGTACACACACCAGCAATGCTGCTGGGTGAGGTCCTGCCCTGGCAGCTTGGTGAGGTCTTTGGCCAGCTTTCCTGCCCGATCCCTCTGCTGCCTCTGAGGCTGGGGGCACTTCTTCAGCATTTCCCTATTGGGTAGACATTTCCTAGTAGAGCTCGCACCAACAGGGGAATGGGGGCACTGCCCACCCTGCCAGGCAGCCTCAGGGACACACGAACAGACAAAGTGTGGAGGATGGACAGACAGGGAGCCGGGGTGGACAGATGGACAATCGACAGCCACGTACAGGGAGGCAGCCAGAGCCCAGTGAACAGGGGACCTCAAACCTTCTGTCCCTTTCTCTCTGGGATAATTGTTATCTGGAAAGGTCCCTTTGTTCCCTTGGGAAGGGCTGTGGGACTGGGGCTGGAGGGATTGAGCAGGGGGAGTCTATTAGGGGAGCCTGAAACTGAAATAGAAGCCCCTTCTCTGCCACCCTACTGGCCTTTCCAACCGACCTTCCAAAGGGACTGAGACCCTGGATGCAGGAGGTGGGGGAGGGGATGGGCTGTCACAGTATAAAGCCTCCTGCTCACATAAAGACCCTCCCTCTTCTCTCCTGCTTTCCTTCTCTTCCAGCAAAGATAGGGGGTTCTGTCATGGGGGCATCTTCCGGAGGAACAGACCCAGGCCCTCAAACCTATGTCTATCTTTGGGGCCTGGGGTGCCCCCCAAGGCATGCCCTGCAACGTAGCCCCTTGCCCCTCCAGAGAGCTCAGAGGAAACCCAAACCACGCTGGGGCCAGAAGAGCCAGGAAGGAGCTGCGGCCCCTGGGGGGAGGGGGGCGGTCAGGAAGACGGGGGCCAAAGGCTCCAGAGTCTGTCAGTGACACGCCCCACGTGGAACCTGGACAGGAAGGGGAGGGGGACTAGTCGTGGGAGCTCCAGGCAGTGTGCGCCTTTGTGTGTGTGTGTGTGTGTGTGTGTGTGTGTGTGTGTGTGTGTGTGTGTCTGCGGGTCTGCCTCCATCTGCCTCCATCTCCGGGCGTGTGGGTCTCTTGTCTCTCTTTATGTCTCTGTCTCCTCTGTCTCTGCTTGGGAGGCGAGGCAGTTTCTCTCTCTCTTTCTCTCTCTCTCTCTGGGCGTGTCTCTCTCTCTCTCTAGGTCTTTGCGCCTCTGGTTCTCTCTCCCGGCGTGTGTATCTCTTGTTTCTGGGTTTGGGTTCCTGCCTTCATCTTCTCTGGACCTGTCTCTCTCTGGGTGGGTGTCCCTTCTGCCTTTCTGTCTCTGGGTGTGTCTCGGTCCCTGCCTTTGCCCCCGTCTCCCTCGGTCTCTGGCCGTGTCTCCCGGTCCCTGCCTCGCTCCGTCTCCAGGGGCGCGCGGAGTCCCGATGTCCCAGGGCTCCCCGATCGCGGCCGGCCCCGGGTCCGAGGCGTCTCACCTGAATCGGGGCGAGTCCTTAATGCACTCCTCGAACTCCACCGTCATTTCTGCGGCTCCGCCCGCGGCCCGGGCTCTCAGAGGGGAAGCGCCCGTGCCATGGCCACCCCAGCCCGCCCTGGCCGGGCTGCGCTGCGCTCCGCCTGCTCCCGTCGGCTCCACTCGCTAGCCAGCCAGCCCGTTCGGGCTGGGGAACGAGGCCGCTGCAGCGCCCGCTCCGGCCCGCCCCGGTCCGCCCCGGCCCGCCCAGCCGGGCCTGTCACCGCGCAGGGAGCGTCGCCAAAGTCCTGTCGCCGCCGCCGCCGCCGCCGCCGCCGCCGCGCCCCCTTTACCCGTAAGCCCCTCCCCAGGCACCGGCGTGTCATTTACATCTGCCTGGCCTTTGTCGGGCGCCTCTGACTCCTCCCCCTCTCGGAGGCGGCACCCCCCAGATCTTCCATACAGAGCTGAGAGGGAACCCGTGAGGGTCCTTTAGGGAGACTCTCGCCTTTTACTGAGGAGGAAACTGAAGTCCCTAGGGGTGACGTGGCTAGGCTAAGGTCAACCAGTCAGTAAATAGAGTCAGGGCCCACACGCGGCTCTTTCTCTGACCCCTCACTTTGATGCACCCCGCTGCCTCTGCCCCTTTAACGAAAAAGGATCCCCAAGGTTATGGCCTCAGCGAGGTGACCCCTGCTCACTGCCTTAACGTTCCCCGGCTTCCTTCAACTGTGAAGATGCCTCTGAAATCTCCAACCCTTCGAACCTAGATGGACTAGGTAACCTCTGGGTGGGGCCGCGGTTCCTGCGAGGTTTAGCACCTGTCTCTATTCATAAGAAATGACTAATTGATCTCCAGCCTCCACAATCATCCCTAGTGCCAGAGGGAGAGATCCTTAGACCTCGAATTGGAAGGTCACCTAGTCAGTCAATTAGCATTTATTAAATGCCTACTATATTCCAGGCACTGTGGTGCGCACTGGTCGGTCATAGGATCATAGATTTAAAATTGGAAGCGACCTTTAAAGCCATTTGACCCAACCCTCTCATTTTACAGATGAGGAAACTGAGGCCCAGAAAGGTTAGGGGACTTACCCCAGGTCACATGGATGGTAAAGCTCAGAGGCAGGTTTTGAATCCAGATCTTTTCCCCTAGAGCCTGGGCTTTTTCCGAGGTATCCCACTCTTACACAGTACCTCCCATTGCCTGTCAAACATCTCTGTCTGAGGGCACCTTAGACACCTAGAACTCCACATGTACAGAAAGGAATGCCTTCCCCCCCAAAAAAACCCTCTGCACCCCCTCTCAACTCACCTGTTTCAATTGATGACTCTCCCAGAAACTGGACAGAAATCTCAGAGGCATCCACACCAGGAGGGAAGAGTGTTATAGTGGGTGGATAAAGTTCAGGGCCTAGAATCAGGAAGACCCAAGTTCAAATCCAGTCTATGATATTGCTAGCTTACCCTAGGCAAGTCACTTAACCTCTCTGAGCCTCAGTTTCCCCTTCTGTAAAATGAAGGAGTTTAATTCTGACCTTTCAGCTCTAAATTCATTTTCCTATGATCTTGAACACTCTCCCATTGCCTCCACCCCCATGACCTTGATCACATTTGACTTCCCTGGGACTCAGTTTCTTCCTCTGTAAAAGCAGGGGCTTTGATTTGATGACCCCCAGACGCTCTTTCCAGCTCTAAGTCAGGGTCTATCTAATCATGTAATTGCCCTTCTCACAATCCTTCCTAAGGATAAAAATAAGCTCTTTGAGGGGCAGCTAGATGTCGCAGTGAATAGAGCTCTGCCCTTGGAGTCAAGAAGACTTGAGTTTAAATCCAGCCTCAGACACTTAACACTTATTAGCTGTGCGACCCTGGGCAAGTCACTTAACCCTGATCGCCTCACTAAAAAGCAAAAAAAAAAAAAAAAAAAAAAAAAAGCTCTTTGCGTTGGCACTGAAGGCCCCTCACTCCCCACACAGTTTGCCTCAAACCTACCTTCCCAGCCCCATTTCCCATCCCTCCTTCCCCCCATCACATACTCCCCAGAACAACCAGATCCTTCTTGCTCTGCCCCTGCCTATTGCCCCTCCCAGAATTCAAATGAGCCCCATGCCTGGAATGGCATCTCTCTCTCATCTCTGCCTTAACATCCTTTTCCTCCTTCAAAGCCTAGATCATGCCCCATTTTCTCCAAGGAGCCTGCCAGGACCCTTCCAACAGAAAGCACTCTTCTCTGTGTCAAATTTCTCGTGCTCGGCCTCACTCTGTCCCTAGCCCCATTTGGCCTCAGAGAGACCATGAAGATGTGGTGGACAGAAGGCTGGCCTTGAAGTCAGGAAGACAAAAACTCAAATCCTGCCACTTTTACTCCTCAGCTGTGTGACCCCAGGAGAGTGACTTCACGACTCTGTGCCCTGGATGACTTCCTGTGATCTATTTATCTAAGGGAGTAAGAGAAGACTCATTTGACAGTTGAGGAAACTGAGGCACACAGGGTAAAGTGACTTGTCACACAGCTAGAAAGTATCTGAGGCTGGATTTGAACTCATGAAGATAAGTCTTCCTGATTCCAAGCCCAGTACTCTCTCCACTGCACCACCTAGCTACTCATAGGATTCCGTGTTCGAGGACTCCTATCTTAGTATGGCACCCTAGAAAGAAGTAAGCTTCTCCGAGGTGGGGACTGGTCTACTGGCTAGGGCACTGGAGTTGAAGTCAGGAAGACCTGAGTTCGAATCCCACTTCCAATACTTAACACCTGTGTAACCCCAGGCAAACTACTTCCCCTCTCTGGGTTCCAGCTCCCTTATCCATAAATTAGAGAGTTGGATTGTTGACTTCTAAGGGCCTTTCCAGCTCCCAATGAATGATCTGTATGATTCACTTCAATTCAGTGAATGTCTATTAACACTTAGTATGTGCAGGGCCCCATGCTGGTATCCCAGCTATGAATGAATGAATGGAAAAGCATTTTATTAGGCTCTTACTATGTGCCCAGCACTGTGCTGAGCCCTGGGGATAAATATACATAGAAGACAGTGCCTGGCCTCTGAGTACAATGCTCCACACAGTTTGCACAATGAATGTTGAATTAAATAGAATTCAGGGGGTGAAAGGAGTGGGATTTGGGGCTGAGGTTAATTCAGGGCTCTGATAAAGGCAGCATGGTGTAGTGGATAGAACACCGGAGTTGGCATTGGGAAGCCCTGGGTTCAGCTTCCACCTCAGAAACTTCCTAGCCATATGACTCTGGACAAACCACTTTGGTCCTCTGAGCCTCTGTTTTCTCACCTGGAAAATGGGGGTGATAATAGCACCTACTTCACAGGGTTTGGTAAGGCTCTACTGAATGTCCAGTGCTTTGCAAGCCTTAAAGCAGTATAGAAATGTAAGCCTTTATTTCCCATTCAGTCAACATTCATTACCCACCTTCTGTGTGTGTGGGGGGGGCACTGTGCTGATCTCTAGGGGAGATGCTGCCCTCATAGAGGGATAATAATAATAGTATCTATATAGCACTTATTACAGATGTTTTCTTGTTTGGTCCTCCACCTACCTGGGAGGCAAACTGAGGCAAACAGAGGGGAAATGACTTGCCTAGGGTCACACAGCCACTAAGGAACCCATGACTCCAACCTGGTAGGGTTGTGCCTGGTAGGCACTCTATGCACTTCAAAAACATCCATCTAGCTACAATAACCAAAGTTTAGAGGCAATCACCTCAGAGAGGGGCATCTCTCAGGGCCCCAGGCAGTTAGCTCTCCAAGACTATATGAATAGTAGAACCCTTAGCAGAGGAACCAGAGTTCCTCCCCTGGCATGTCCTATGAAATTGCAGGTCTGGTTAAATACACTGATAAATAAGCATATGAGAGAGGTGCAAAACCAAGTGTTCTGCAGGGGCCAAAGGAATATCCTTCCCAAAGGGGGAGGGGCTCAGGGAAGGCTTCTGGGGGCAATGGGCAGGGTGGAGGTTCAGTAAGGAAGCCTGGGGAGCTTTGAAGGATCATAGATTTAAAACTGAAAGGGACCTCTCTGTTCAGTTGGGAACCACTCTGTCTGACCCCATTTGGGGTTTTCTTGTCAAAGATAACTGGAGCGGTTTGCCATTTCCTTCTCCAGCTTATTTGACAAATGAGGAAACTGAGGCAGAGTGAAATGACTTGCCCAGGGTCACATTGCTGCTAAGAGTCTGAGGCCAGATTTGAACTCAGCAAGATGAGTCTTCCTGACATCAGACCTGACCCCACCTAAGCAGCCCTCAGAAATCATCGAATCCAACCCCTGCTCAACCCAACCCCCCAACCATTTTGCTGGCAAAGTAACTGAGGCCCACTGAGGCTAATCAGTAGAAGTTCTGCAGGGAAAGGGAACAATGGAATCAAAGTCGTGGAGGTCCAGGATGGGAGGCTTGTCTAGAGGGACCTTAGAGAGCCCAATTCCCCTCCCCCATTTTACGGATGAGAAAACTAAGAAACAGAGAAGTTGTGACTTGCCCAGAATCACACAACTAGTAAATTTCTGAGTCTGGAGTTGAACCCACTTCCTTTTGACTCCATGTTCGGTGCTGTTGTCACAAAACCACACTGCCTCGTGGTGCCACTGGATCTTTGTGCTCCACAGGAATCAACAGTGGGATGTGGCAGCCCCCCCTGCCCCTCCCCCCACAGAGCAAGCTAGGGAGAGCTCAGTCTGTGGGACAGTATAGTGCCTTTGCCCTGGTCACAGTTCTCCGAGACACACTGCAGTGTCCATTCAGGGGAAGGCAAGCAGGACAGGGAAGTGCCTTGAATCAATGGAGGAACCTTAAAGGAAATAGGGGTGTTTGGAGAGGGGAGGGGAGGAAAGAGGAAAAGGAGAGATGGGGGGCGGAGAGAGAGAG